GCAGGAATGGGTTATAACAACATCCTGGTGTAGTCCAGAGCTTTTTTCCCTAAAAATCCCCCCCAAAAGGCCCTATACAAGCCAAATGGAGCAGAATTAGGTCAAGAGCAAGGGCTTTTGAACAACTTACCTTCCCATATTTCAGACTCCGGGTGTGCAGTGATATAGCCCCATCAGAAAATACAGACTGGACCTCTGCCTGTCAGTGCCACTTAAGGAAACAAGGTGCCTAGCACTGCCCAGGGCCAAGAGCTGCTGGCTGCCCCTGGCAGAGAGCTCTCACTGCCAGCCAGCCTAGCCGAGGTCTGGCACCTCTCCCCATGTGCCTTGACTCTTCTGTCTGAGTGCAAGCACTGGAAGGATACACTGATGAGGTCCCCTTCCTGCAGATAGTCTCTCATCGCAAGCTCATCCTCCGCTGATCTCCTTCTCTGAAATGCACAACACAAGAAAAGTTATATGTATCTCAAAATGAGAAAAAAATCAGTCAATACCTACATTGCCGGGGAACCTGAGGACACCATACAAGATGCAATCTGGTCACCAAAGGAAAACCAGGCAGACTGGCACACCTTTAGGTCACTGAAGTGTTTATGCCCAAATAACATTGAGAGTTACAGATAACGGAGTACTACAGACCCACCCACAAAACCCAACACTACCTTTGTGCTAACTGGGGGAAGGGCTCCAGAGCTTCCCAGTACCCCCCAGCTTCCCAGTACCCCCCCAGCTTCTGCCGTGGACACAGAAGACGACAGGGCTCTGGCACTGCTCTGCACGAACACCACTCACCAGTTCCCCCCCAGGTAAATTCATAGACGACAGCAACAGGACTGAATCCAGCCTGGAATTCGTTTCCACTTTCCATCGCTTGCTGAACCTGGAGAAGAAAAATTATCTGTTGCTAGACCCTCAAAAAGTGCACAGAAGCTCTTCAGAAGCGCGAGAAGCCCTGCCGCCAGCCGGGCCCACAGGAGGAGGCTGCTCTGCTGCGCGCTGCCAGCCTCGTAGGAACCTCAGAGAGGCTCCGGGTCGGGTCGGGCTGGGACACACCAGCCTGGCTCCCAGCTTTACC